TTCGATTAAATTGATAGTCACAAATTGATATATGTTGTATTTCTTCTGTTCTTTGTGTTTAATTTAAGGATGCATTTTATAAATAAGCCCAATGTGTGTTTCATAGAGACATGTATATATGTGATATAAATGTGTAACGCATGACCGGTTGAATAAGCACATAAGTCAGTTTAAACTATTTTTCAGGAAAAGCAAAAGAAACCATCAAGAAGGCATCAATTCTTAAGTGGACCTGCACAAACTGATTAAAGGTAGTTCTTATACGTTCGACTTATGTGGTTTTTCACGAGGCAAGATCAAACATTTGTAGATTTGTGTGTACAATAAATAAAAAACATGTTCGACTTATGTGTATATTGATTATATTTATTTGACTTTTCCCGACACATTTTAATTATGTGCTTTACGTCTGTTGCTGTTCTTTTGTTGCAATTTTAGTGCCAGTAAAAGGTCTGTAGCTTTTTTATTTTCTGTTTTTATTTTGCCCTGAAATATGTGATATTAATAAAGGTGTGACAAATAAGCTCACCTTAAGTTTCTTTTTTTTATTTATTCTAGCTTAGCCATTGGCCCTCTGCAGCCACATAAGATAAATACATTAATATGATTTATATACAAGAATCATTTGAGACATTATAAACAGAAATTTAGTTTTAGAAATAATAGAATACAGTGGTTATATAGTTATACATAATGAGAAAAGACTCATCGGTTAATGTGTATGTTAATGTGTATAGGCAGAATGTACAGGCAGGAATGTAATAGCAAACTAATCGGGCAATAGCTAGTTGGATGATTTTGAGCTTTCCCTGGCTTGAAAATGGGAATAATGTGGGCGTGTTTCCATTTATCAGGGAAGTACGTTTGTCTCAAAGCGGCATGAAATATTGCTGTAATATGTACGATTAATTTTATGGGAAGACGTTTTAATAAAAAAGTTGATATTAGATCATGACCATTTAATAATTTAGGGGTTGCTAGTGAAAGATACTCGATGATTTCTGATGGCGAAATAAATGTAGGGCATTTAGGAACTGTTAGGAACAAGAACTTGTGCAGTTCTTGAATTTGATTATCGTGGTGCCAATTTTGAGAAGGATATGAAGTAAAGGTTGATGCAAAATAATTACCCAACATATCGCATTTATCGGAAGGAGAAGCTGCTTCTCCAGTTGGAGTAACAAGGGTGGATATATTAGTAGGTTTGCGCAAAAGACGTCGGGTTATATTCCACAGTGTATGATCAGATGGGTTTGCCGTTTGAGTATAAAGATTAATCTTTTGCGCGTGGATGGACGCCAAACGTTGTCTCACAATTTTAGTTACGAGGTTTAAATAAGATTTTAGAAGAAGAGATCGATGTCTCAACCAGTGATTACGAATATATTGTTTATAATCGATCAGTGTCTTCACTACAGGTGGTATTGCTGGAAGCGAAGTGCGTTGATGGGCTGTGGGGGCCTGAAGTCGAGGGCATCTAATATATTATGAGTAAATGAGACAATGGCGCTGTTGATTTCCTGCGTAGTTCGGAGTAATAGCAGTGGAGGTAAAAGATGTGTAACTAGCATCTGATAATATGGCCAGTTGACATTACGTAAATGATAAGGCTGAGAGGGGCGAATTTCTTCTGGGGCTGTGCCGAGTGAGACAACTACGGGGCGATGATCGGATTGCAGGGCGATATGAGTCTGGACTTGAATGTTATGACTAATGTTGTTAGAAACGCCGAATTCTAGAATCTCAGATTGCACTGACACGCGGTAGGAATAGTAGCTAGGTGTATCAGGAGCATGCCCTGCAGGATTTAATCTTCGTATGCCAGCTAGTAACAGATTACCAGCAGGTGAGTTTAGTCTACTTCCCCAAGCGACGCGTTTAGCATTTCAATCACCGATCACTAATGTGGGTTAACGGGAGGAAAATAAGGTATCAATGTCAACTGATCTGTATGAAATATTAGGGGGCTTGTAAATTGATGTGATTATCAGGGTAGATTGACATTTCTGCTGAATGATTTAGAAAAAAACATCAGTGTATAAAGGCACTTCAAATACGATCCAGAATGAAATCCTGATGTGTCTGCTTGAAGAGGGTCACGAGAAAATAACAAAAGAAATAAACTCGGACTTTGTTGCTCTTAGGGCAGTCGGAACGAGTGATATAGCGTCAGTCTCTCAACTTGTTATTGTATAATCCTGTAAACGTGAAATTTATTGCAAAGTAAAAATAAATTTTAAAAATCACAAGATTAGCAATATTTGAAAAATAGTCATTTTCGTTTCCGAGTTATTGCAAACTTATTTGCATCGGTACATGAATTGCAAGTATGATTTTTCTGCATTGCTAACAAAATAGTAACTCTCCGTTACCTCTACTCTTACCATTACAAGCAAAAGGAGAGTTCAACAAAACGTGCGCATAGTGAAGCTGCATTTACGTTCAGAATTAAAACAAGAGGCCATCTCAGCATTTGCTTAATGGATCAGGGAAACTGGACAAAAACCTGATGGGATCGACTTCACAGCATAGTACTTCACATATTACTTCTTGTACTTCGTTTACGTTTTACCGTTGGTTTCTATAGTGTGTAATCCAGCCTGACTTATCACAATTACATCTATTCGCACTGTATCTTTTTCTTCTTTGTTCAGATATTTAAGTATCTTTTAAGCAAAATGTTGTCTTCCATGCATGTCATTTTATATTTGGCTTATAAATGTATCTCAATCATGTTATTGGGCTTGTTGAATACCTTTTTGCTGAATTACGTTTTTCCTTGTATCTTTCTTTATTCTCCTCGGTATTTTGTTGAAGGTTCTGAAGAAAAGCTGTTTGTTTCTTACGAACTAGGTTTTCAATCTCACTGTTCCAAGTTTTCAGATCCTTTTTACTCCTTATTTTTCTCTTTCGTCCTAGCTTCTCTGGTCGCATTTTCAATGAAGATTTGCTCATTATTGCGTTCTTTCTCTATATCGTTCTCATTTAGTGTATCTAATAAGTATTTCTGCAATATAGTTTGGTACAGCATTTTATACTTTCTTCTTGCGGTAGATGTACTTTGTATACTTCTTCTGAAATACTTTTCTGACGCCTTGCAGTCCTCATCTTTTGCAGAGATTGAATTTGCTAATTAATATACAGTGTTCAGAGCCTATATTAATCACATTCCCGATAAAGTTGCACATCTTTTATTTGTGATTTCAATTTTTCATTTATCAGGTAATAATCAATTATTGTCTTATATTCTCTTCCACACCAATTATATTTATTTACATTTCGAATCTAGTATTCCTCTGAAAATTGTAGGTTGCAGTAAACACTCGTTAGCACGAACTCTCATAAACTCGAAATTCGTCGAATCACGTACAAATGTTTGGGTTTCGCAAGGAAACGTAGTAATACGATTACTTAATATAATTACCTAAAACTCTTCATATTAGATCCCATTTTGCTTCTATATGTCTCACAAAAGCCACTTGTCTAGTATTTATTTCTGAACATGGTCTCTCCATCCACTAGGGAATATCTCGCTCTAACCGCCTTAAAAAGCGCACACACTTTAAACTCGATCAAAGTCAATTTCCTGATAAATATAAACAAAATACTAGTAGAAAACATATCCCGTAATACTTCAATGCAAATATGTTAATTGGTAATAACATTCAATAGAAACCAAGCTGCTGATCCGGTGATCGAGATCGCGGGTTTGAGTCACGCCTCGGGCATGGTTGTGTTGTGTTCGTCCTTTCATCCCCTATCATCATCATTATCGAGTCATCCTCACAGGTACCATACCGCTACAAGCAATAGTGGTCGCTAATGATCTAGTAGTTGATGCGACCTTAAATAACAAAATTAACAACAAAAAAAAAGTGTGAGGAGATAATTCTCCCCTCCCTACCCTGCGAAGCCGCGGCTAACATTAATATTATGGATACAATGGAAGATGTATTTCATTTTAAAATGTTTTCAACGTATTTAAGTTTCTGGTATTTTACTATAAGTAAATAGACGCAGGGGCGTGCCATGATTATATTGTACTCCCCATCTGCTAGCGGCCAACCGGTTTCCCCCACCCTCACCTCATAAAAAGTAGTCGTGCAACAGAATATTCTTTAGCACAACCGTGAAACACAACATATTTAGAAAATAAAAATTCCAACATTAAATTTATTACTCCCACGCAATTAAGTTTGCCAGGTCTGCTTCCAAAAAATAGCGACAAGCGGGGGGGGGGGGTACAGTAGTTTTTTTTAACATTACAGGTAATTAGATTATGAAATAATTTACTCATTTAGATTTATTTCAAATTTAACAGTGAATTCACGAATTCGTAGAATTTCCTAAATTCACCGAACCAGTGTGTTTGTGTTTTATACTGAGAACTGATTCAACAGGTTGCTATTACTAATGATTAGCATAATATTACTTACATGGTGATTTAATTAGAACACAGCAAAATAATATTTACACAAAACAATGATTAACTTTTATGTTTATAATGCTTGCCGAGAATCATTATTATTGAACTGCCGAGATCAACAAGGCGGGATCACGTGTGGATCGACCGAGAAATTTAAAATATGGCCCGCGACCAAATTAAAGGTATTAGTTGTAGCCCTTGAGGCCCTGCAAGTTGGACCCTCCTGGTCTGTCTTGTAGCCCTACACGTTTGACAAGCCAACCTTGCGAGGGCAGCACTAACGGGCAGAGTATAACGCTGGTTGCGAAATGAAACCTGTAGTTCCTTACCCCTGAAGTGTTTGCTTTCCGAGGGATGCATGGCTGCACGTATTGGTTTGGTTATATGCGAGATGTTGTAAATATGTTACTGACAACATGGTTATGTGTTTTTAGTGGCTTAAATTGCTTTTGCAGTGAAAATATTGTAGGATTCGTATGAATGTCTTAATATTAGAATGCGCATTCGTGTGTCCAGATACGTGGTATTTCTAGTTTTTTTTTTGAATGTTGTGTTGTTGTTGTTAATGTGTAGAATGTTAGGGAATTTCGCATTGCCGAAGAGGAGACAGTCTGTTGATCATGTTAGGATTGTAGGAGTAACTGAAATACCCAAAGCTATCGAAGAGAATCTTACTGTAATTGTCAGAAAATTTGAACATTTTGAAAACGATGTTAGTGGAACAGTAGAATCATTTCTATCGCTGTATCCTAATCTGCGTGTGCTGATTGTAAGTGATTCCATTCCTTATCCACCTTTTACTTGGCGGACGTCAAACGTCAGTCTAGAACGTGTGAAAATAGTTACTCTGAAATTGAGTTTAACAGACTCCTCAAATAGTAATCCATTATCTTTAATATGTACAAAATACGTCCTCTTCGTTCCGGATTCTACCAGAATTCGGTCAGAAAACGTTATTAATTCTATGATTTTAGAAATACAAAAGAGACCAACGTACTTAGTTTCAGCCGCATTTCAAGATACTAGGGCAGTGGAGTGTTTGAAAGTAAATTTGAATGCGAGAGAATGGTACATTGAATATTCAACAACAGAAGATGATGTCTGTGACAGCGTTAGCGGGAATCATGCCATACTTGTTGCAACTGAAACTATAAAAAAGCTGCCGGTGGTATTTATGCTTCCATTTCCTGAAGCATTATATATACAGGCAGCTGCACAAAATATAAAGGTATGGTCCCATTGATATGTATCTCATTTGTTTTCATTTAAACAACATATGCCTGTAATATTTGTAATATAGGTTGACACATATCAAATAATGTTTTCCATTTTTGATATCGAATGTAACCAAAGTTATACTTTTGGATGCGCGGAGAGATAATTAATAGTAATCAACTATAATTTTCTTATGTGCTCATTTTGTTAGGTTTTATAGCATTAATGTTTTTAAAAATTAATTGACTTATAAAATTACAGGTAACAAAAATTTAAAATGCACAAAGATTTTAAAGAATACAAAAAACTAAAAGCAAAATTTTTAAGATATGTTATCTTCTGTTGATCCCAGGACACTGTTCTATGTGTGTGCATAGGCCCATCTGGTATGTCATGTAGCTACACCATTGTTCTTATGAAGAAATGGGTATACCAATTTGGTAATAATTCATTTACCCACACAAGTGCCAATACCCTGTCATTTTAAATTTGTGAAATATTTTGTTAATTTGAATGTTTATTTTCATTTAAACAATTAAGTTCTGGCATTAATTTTATCATAGAAATGTGTTGTGCTGAACCTAGAAGTAATTAGTATTAATATTTTTCCTGCCGAAGGGTCCATTTGTACATTTAAACATACCTGTAAGGCTATCGCCCAATTTGAATTACATAGGAAATAATATATTTTGCCTAGTAGTCGAACCAGTATGCGATGGAAGGAAAAGCTCTTACACTTAAAAAAGGAACCTGAATTACACCAGCTGGTCCAGTAAACACAATTCATCCAGAATAATTTAGGAAAATCTTTTGCTTTTTTTGGTATACTAATTAGCTTTAGAAACAAAAAAAAAGAGAATCCAATTAGTTTTGAGTAAAATTTTAAAGCAAATGATTACTTCTCGTTTTTAGGATGAATCCAGTTTAATTTAAGATCCTTCAATCACTAATATGCTCATGTAAGTAGAGAGTGGAAAAGGTCATATATTTTGGTTACAAATCTTTGTTTTGAGAATGTCAACTGTTCGCTAGCCTGCCGAGTTGTATAGTTTAGTGACTGGAATAAATATATTAATTTTAGCAAATGGCGTTTCAAGCAATATAAGAGGGTTTGATTACTTGGTAAGTTTTGAGATGTGATGTTCCAACAAATTGTCAAAAGTGAAACTATTTATGTTTTTATTTAAGAGATTTAGAAGAATAAATAAACCTTTGTTACAAGTGACAATTGAAAAATTACATTTAATATAATTGCAACTTTACTACATTTATTTATTACATTCAGCAAGGACAATTTCAATTTGAATGTTAGAAAATAAGAAGTGTATATCATGATGATTGAACCACATTATTGTGGATTTTGTAGGAAGATAAACATACTGATGAAGCATACAACAAAATTTGCCTTATTTGTTTAATTTTGGAATGTTTTAAATGTAAATTAATTTGAGAGATGTGTGGTTGTCATTCTCACAAATCCAGAAAAAATAACCCTTATTGGAGACGACTATCAACTTATTGTTGGTGTTAGATGTGGATTTACACATGGTCTACACTCCATGCTGCCCTTTGGTCTATTCTTTAATTTTCACTAAAGACTGTTTCAATAATTTCTAAAGCATTTATGAATAATAAAACTTTTTTATAATAAAATGATTAACATTATTATTATTATTATTATTATTATTATTATTATTATTATTATTATTATTGTTATTACTAGCCAACTAAGATCCCATTAAGGGCAAGGGCCTTCTGCCTGTTTGCTGGGAATGCTGAATGAAGTGAGAGGATAATGATGAGGGATGAAGGGACTAAGATGGTGAGCAGTGGCTGGTGGGTGGTGAACACGGCATTTTGAAGCATTTTAGCACTGGCCTGTATGGCCGAGGGGAAACCACGAAAATCCCGTTCAGGATGGCCGGCCCGGGGATCGAACACGAACCTCCCGATTGCGAAGTCAGCACGCTTCACACTGAACCACTCCGCTCGGTTAACGATACACAAAATAAGCTAAAATATCTTGCGTTTTGCTGATATTGCCAGTGAATTAGTCGAGATCATTACAGTGTATTGATTTTAAGAGTTCGGATTCTATTGCCAACAAAGCAAGCGCATTTAATCAGTCTTCGAACATTTTTGATCTGAGGTAGTTTTTCACTCGTTTTGAACATAAAAATATCTCAGCACTGCAGTTACTGAGGGGGCTTCTATAAATAACGTAACGCTAAAGGAGGGTAGGGGATTTGAGGCAGCGTTACGCTACATTATATAGGGGTTGGGGAATATTAATTTATTGTTATATAACATTGATGTTTATTTAATTTATATTTTCTACATTTGCTCAAATAATTCCATTTTTAGACCCATCGTTTTTTAGATTAAAATGTTAAGTAGATAATTTGTTTTTAAAACACTAATAGATTAACGTTATTAGGTGAACATTTTTATAATTAAACAATAAAGGGAAATATTTTTTATTGAATCTCTACGATTACGAAGAAAATATTCAAAACTATTTTGTAGTATATTCTAGAATCCACTTAATTTGGTGCAGTTGACTCACCCATGCGCTATTCACGACGGCGTGTGCACTGCTTGTGATAAAACATTTTCTCGTGTATCCTCATTTACTCATAACTTGGTCTCAATCTTATTCTTAGGTGCAGCCAGCATCGCTAATTAATTCCAACTTTGGTTATCGTAAATTCTCATACAAGTATAATAAATAAAAATTGTTTTTTACTGTGCTCTAATTTATTTTCGCTTGCATTTAGAAGGGGGAGGGTGTTGTCAGAAGCGTTACGTAATTATTTCGGGAGGATCAAGTGCGCGTTACGAGTTCATTACAATGCAGAGAGGGCGTATTCAAAATACTCCAAATTTGCGTTACGTAACTTATGGACGGCCCCTTATCGGTGTACAGATAATTATCTGGTAGTTTCGTAGAGTAACATTTCATTTCCCAATGTGCCTTTTAAATCCGACATAGAGCCTCGTAACAACTTTGATTTTTCTTGTACATAGCTTGCATTGGAATTTCCAAGTTCCAAAATTATGGAAAACTCTCCATTGATCTTGAAAGCTTTGTTTCTTCAAGTTCCTTGCAAACTAACTTATCCAAAGTAACATAGAACGCATCGACTTTGAAGTAATCGCGGCATGTCAATTCAACCCCATCTTTATTCTCGTCGAATTGACCTTTTATTTTCTGTCTGCGACCAGTTACAGATCGATAATCTTTGTTTATGAAAAAATTATTCTATTATTAATTTGAAAAATATTTCTATACTTTATGGAAAAAACTTCAAATCCGATAATGATTTCAATGTTTGTTTTTTTTAATTTGGCAACTGATTGTAATATTTCCCATCGATGTGTGAATGTGTAGGAATAGTTTATAGATTTTGAATCATTCCAAAATACGTGATCTCTTCTGAACACATTCCGTTGTACAGATTCCGACTAAGTTCGATAAATGATCTGCGCAAGGAGTATATTCAGTACGCGGGTTTACTTCATTGACCCTTGTTTGGAATAAATGCCTGACATTTTTTGCATTGTTACACGATTGACGTCTGCAATCAGCAGTATTGATTCCATTAGATTCAAGTGTAGAAAAACTGCAGTTGCGAGATCTTCGGCTTTGTGTTCTGGATTTTCAACAAAAGTAAAAAAAGTCACACGTTTCACTGCTAGTCATCATTATTCACGTAACGTTCAACAAAATAAGGCCTCATTCACAAAGCAAACTTAAACGTAAACATAACGTAGCTGCAAAACCTAGAAATGAGTTATTAACCGAGGCCATTCACAATGCCTTGACAACCGTAGACGTTAACTCGAGTTCACAAGAACTGAACTAGTTTGCGAACGGTTTTGATTGGAACGGATTAACTTGACGTGGAGAATAAAATAAATGCCGGCGACGAATTACTAGTGAATTTGGTACAAGAGAATCCTTGTTTATAAAATAAACGACATAAGAGCACTAATACAACAGCTACTCGCATTTATATATAAAGACAAATCTGTAGTAAAATCGAAGAAAAAGTTAGAAACCATGGTGAAAATAGGGAGTTTGTGCACCAACTCCCTAATCCATCACGCTAGAAACGAATCGATCGATCAAGCTTTAATCCGTTAAAATCTGATTGGTTCAGGCGATACTTAAGTTACAGCTTACGTTCGTGAATGTGAATGCTTGGGTTTACATGTAAATTTTACTGCTAAGTTTACGGCATTACGTGACGTTTAATTTTGCATTTGTGAATGAGGCCTAAGCTGATCCACGTACGAAATATCGAGGGAGGGGGTGGAGTCTATTATTATCAAATAGTATTTTGCAATTTTGATTTCATCAATGATCACAGCTGTAACTTTTTTTGCGATCAGTCAGATAAACTCTTCATAGACCGTTGTAGATAAATATATGGTACTGCCATTGCCTTTGTTGCCAAATCTGCTAATGTGATATGCTAAAAATGGATCATACTCTTCCAAAAGCTCTAAAGGCATCACAGAATGTCCATTATGGGCCGAACCAAACTGCCCATTATGTCTACGTGAGGCCAATGATTTACTAATAACACAATACTTCTTAAAGTACTCCACCAGTCGATCTGGCTGATGTCGCGGCCCCTTTGAATTTGAAACCGATATTTTAATTTTTGAGGTACTTCGAATGAACCACTGAGACATTCTCAAAATTTTAAACAAAAAAAATGGCTCCATCGTTTTTTATTAAATTTCATTATTGGATAGTGTGAAGGGCGTTTAAGACAATGATGCTGGTCTCATTTTCGTTGAAAAGTCTAATTTTTCGAAAATTGAAAAAAATCAAAAAATTTCGACGTCTTCCTACTACTTCAATTATGAAGGTAAACTTTTTTCTTAATTAAATGTTTTCATGAAAAACAGTAATGTCAAAAGTAATGTCATATTCAATTTTTCGATAGCATTTTGTGTGAAACAGGCCAATTTTCTTTAAACCATTTTTTTCTTGAAATGACACGAAATGTTTTGATTTAATTTGGATCTTAGGGTAAAGGACGGTTAAGAGAATAGTGTAGATCAAATTTTTGCTGAAATGTTTGATTTTTCGAAAAATTGGAAAAAAATGTAGCGTCTACGGCATCATAACTACAATTGTGATGATACACTTTTTCTTAATGAAATGTGTTCATCAAAAACAGATCTTCAAATAAGGTTATGTTGAATTTTTCGTAATTATGAGTATTTATTTAGTATTATGGCGTCAAACTTAGTCGCCCGGTCCGAAAACCCTGCGCTTCGTGGACGTAATATGAGAGATTGTTCAGCGCTCTTTGATGCTACGTAAGTTAAAATTTGTATATTATTGCGTATCTCTTTGTTCGCTTCTTACATTCGACCTTGTGTTACACATTTACTAACTAATATTTTAGAAATTCTTTAAAACCTATTTGAGATATATGAAATAAAAAAAAAATCTTAGTCTTCAGGGAATCCTTATTGAGGGTCCTTAATACCGGAAACACCATTGACGGTAAAACGATTGTCTGTGGTCAACGCTAGCGTCTAAACCGTTCAGACGATTTGCTCCAAAATTGATAACCCTAAATCAATCTGAACAAACTCTGGGCCCTTCGAATTTCAAACGGATATTTCGATTTTGTAGGCTACTTTACATGAAGCTTCAAACTTTCCTGAAAAATGGCTCCAATTTCATTGATTAACTTTGTCTTCGGATATCGTAAAGAGATCTTAAAAAATGGCACGGCTCTCATGTTCGCCGAAATCCTTAATATTTCGAAAATTGCAAAGTTGATAATTTTTTCGGCATCTTCCAACAATTTCTGATATTCAGAGATAAATCTTGAAATAAGACAATGTTCGATTTTTAAAAAATATGAATAGTTTTCTCGTAATTTTGCGTGAAATATGGGAAATTTTTAAACGATCTCAAAAACAGCTCCAATTTTTGTCTTTAAATTTTCTCATCGTTTGGATCATAGGTCTATAGCGAAAGTAAAGTATTGAAGGTAAAGAGATTTTTGTCATCAATGAAATCCGATCTAAAAATAATATCTTTAAATAAGGTCGTGTACAGTTTGTTTACGAGTAGTTTTCTGTAGTCTTTGCTGGAATTCAATGCAAATTATAAAAAATATTTTGTCAAAAACTGCTTATTTTTTTCCACGGATAGAGAAAATGACACTTAACATGGTGCAGGCCTCATTTTCGTTGAATTCTTCGAATTCTGGAAATTATAAAAGTTAGAAACAATGCGAGATCGTATGTGCTGTTGTAGAACCACTAATTTTGTTTTGTGTTTGTATTGAAAATAGTTACTAATTAGAACAGAAACTACAAAGACGTGTCCGTCGGTATTTTGTCTCATAAATGCTTTATTTGTTCTTTATGCTTTATTTTATAATGTATGTATTTAATTTTGCAGGTGAAGTTGCTGAGGCAAGGCGGATTAACAGAAGGACAACCTCTGTACAAAAGCAGCCATGCATATTGGAAATTACAGCAGTTGCATCAAAGACGATTAAAGGATATGTACCGTGAATTTGGTTTAAAAAAAGTTGTAAGGGAAACTGGTGTCGTTGAATGGTATGGCTGTAATCGTAATACTGCTAGATGTTTCGGAACTGTTGTAGATGATATACCGCAGTATTTATGGGAAGGAAAGTGGACGCCTCCGTGCTGTTTGGCGGGATTGCGGCGCACAGCCAGGCACGTGTTTGACCAACTCGACGAGTCTGGTGTTCGGTATTGGTTGGAAGGTGGTAGTTTACTTGGTGCTATGCGTTCTTCTGATATATTGCCCTGGGATTACGACGTTGATTTGGGCTTTTACCGCGATGATATTTCGCGATGCCATTGGCTTCTGAGGGCACAAAAACAGTCTATCATTGATAGTGATGGATTTGTTTGGGAGAAAGCGCCTGAGGGTGAATTTTTTCGAGTGCAGTACAGTCAGTCAAATCATTTACACGTCGATTTATTTCCTTTTTATGAAGTCAATGGCACTATGACAAAGGATACTTGGTTTCCTACACACAAACAAGATAGGGAATTTCCTGAATATTTTTTGCATCCTATGTCCTCTATTGAATTCATTGGCCGACAGGTTCCAGCTCCGAATAATATAAGAGACTTTTTAGAACTGAAATTCGGTAAAAATGTTATCGAGAATCCAGAATACCCAAATCCTTCCAAACTTAAATTTTCGATGGCTGGAAATTTACCACCCTAGTCAGTTGATTTGTACGTTAATGACTTCTCAGCCAAAAGAACATTCAAGTTATGAAATCATCCATTCTTCCAAAAAATAAACAATTGTATGAAGTATGGTGAAATATTGTTTGAGCAGTTTATGTTACAATAAATGTTTTGATGTGTGTTTGTGTGTAAATCAACCTTACCTTCAGTGTCCTCTCTGATGTAGATTAAAGTAAATCTCAACTATCACCAAACTAAAACTCTATCTCTCAACTCAGTTTTGGAAGATTGTAGCTTCAGCGGTCTCTTCTCTTTGCATCAGATTTTATAAGGCAACACAAAGTTAAGGGAAGTAATGTTGATATATCATCGGAACACAAGAAAAGTGACACATTTCAAAAAGTAATTTTTAGTTGTCTGCGAGTAGACTGGCACTACAGCCTCGTGGAGTTAAAGCCTGCTATATAAATCTGCTTCATTACATACCTTCCGATCCCGATAGAATCTTCGTCCAAACTGCCAGGAACTTCGAAAGCTTTCGAAGCTTGACCATAATATCATGCTCTAAAAATTACCTCTATATGGAATTCGTGGTATTGCCTAGATTGGATTATCAAGTTCCGTCTCAAAGAGTTGAAATACCGCAGTGACACGAAAGAACATACTACTTAAGTTTTTGTAACGTGGCGCGTCAAGGGCTGCCATCACGATGGAATATCTCACGGCATTTCGAGTCTTTCTCGGTCGATTGATTATTACGTGGCTAAGAAGGATTGTTTTTTTAAATTTCCGGCATTATCTTTGCAGTGGCATAGTGCGAAGGGTCACAACCTGAGACAGCACTGAGCTGAGAGCGATCGACGACTTTTTCTCTGCTGACTGCTGACGGGGAATCTTTGGACAACTCCGCGACTGTTTCGCTGCCTGCGACTTTCTGAAGCGTAGGTGTCATTTTCACAACTGCCTCGCTGTCCCTTCGAATCCTTATGGTAGTCGTCCTCACCCAGTTTAATTCTCAAAAACATCACATTTTCTTCAGCCGAATGGGGAATTCTGGCTTATCCTAGCGTATCATATTCTACTTATGCTAAATTTATTTGTAAAATGCGTAATAATTGTTTGTCTTATATTTTCCTTGTGTTTTGCTGTTGATATTTTTTTATTTCCTGCTATGTTTTCATTAATAAATGATGCTTTATTTTCATTACTTTGTTTTACTAAGAAAATTATATTGAAAATACTGTACATATGTTGAATTAATTGGCAACCCTCTATAAGACCAAAACCTGCTAAGACGGAATTTTTTTGAAGGAACCGTGAGGTTCCGTCTTTGTTATGTTTTACTGAATTTTGTTGATTATGTTGAATTGAAGTCATGCGAAAACAGGCTTTTGTCAACATGTTCTGAAACATGAAAGGAATATACATTGCATATTTTTGTATTGAAAGGAACTTTGATATGTATAATAAGAAAAATCTAGCATAATTACCACCTCTTGCATATCTAAACATTTGTCTAGTATATTTTCCGCTTTTCACGCTTGTTATACACTAACTGTTCTACAGTGTTATACACTTCGAAACTAAATTATAAACTTTGCGTTGGCTGCTAGGATTTAAATTTAAGGTCATCTGAAACCTTTAGTATCGTATAGAAACAACTTCAATCTGAAGTGCCATAGTGAGAGAAAACAATCTAATACAACACCTCTCACTTTATGACAGTGCACTTTAAATAGTACACAGAACATAATGCGTGGCTACTTTATAAATACATTGCGGGACTTTTTGTCTTCAATGTGTTTTAATTTACTTCTTCCTTTTTTACTTTTTTCTCGCTAGGCCTTTGCGTGTGGGTATCCCCACCCCTCCTCCTAGATCCGCCACTACCTGTAAGTGCGTGTTGAAGCAGAAAAGTGAGGCCATTTGCAAATCACTGAGTTAAAAGCACTACTTTAAATGTTCAAAAGTGGAAAGTATGCTATATTGACTTTTAATGTAGCTTTATTCTGGCTAAATCGTTGCTAAACGTCGATGAAGTAAAAGGGGGACCAAATTGAACCTCGCATTACCTTGTTGAGTTTTAACGAAAGGGTACTTTTTGTACTTGTAACAATTTTTCAAAACGCAGCATGGGGAACTAGGAAGGCGTATAAGAATGAGTTTCATCTCGAATAAAACGCACTTATTGTACAAGGACCAAATTCAAGGCAAATACTAATCGCGAACTGTAATTTTATTTCAAGTGACAATGCATTTCAAGTACTTCAACAAAAGCCTTGCAACGGCATGAAAGAGAAGTTCGGCAGGTCATGGAGTGAGGTTATGAACACATTAAATTGGATAGAACAAATTCCCCGTAAATAGATATTTTTACAATAAAGGAATTTAACATACGGATTCTTACATAAGATTACGTATTTGTTCATGTACCAAGGAAAACTAAATATCATTACAATTAGCATTGACGGAGGAATATGTGCATTAAAATTCCAACATAATAATATAGTCAAGAGGAACAAGGAAAACCCTGAATGCTTGTACACAACTCCCACTAGCAAAACCTATCGATACGTTTCTTCCGCTGCAAAGCCTGTCCAACTGTTCCGCTCGCATCGCTCTACCATAGACACTGCGTTAAATAGGCCAGGTCGCTCCGGCTCTCTTCGCCACCACTCCAGCCCAGAAGATTCGACGGACAGCTGCTTCTACCCGCTGAGTATACTTCGATTTATTTAGAGCTTCATTTGTCAAAACATCAGCTGTTCGGTGTTGGAAGCTTTCACGTAACTATGGTGACGTTAAACTTCCCGGTTGGATTTCACCCTAACAGTGATTTAGTGTACTGACCCTCTGCTTAAATCCAAGTATAGACACGAGTCCCGCACGTTGCTGGCGCCCAGATGATTGCGTGAGAGAAGGGAGTTATTGGTTCACGGCAGCAGGCCGCTAGAGGTGGCAACCAAGCAGGATTCTCCAGGTGCCAGCTTCTTGCCATGGATTTCGTGGCGAATGTTCTATAATTACTATTAGGCGAGAAATTCGTATTGTAGCTCGTAATACATGCACCGTAGAGCTGTGAAGGCGGGACATTAGTCGGCCTCAATTGCCCACGGCGGAAAATGTGATAAAATGGAGTGAAATCAAGATCTACTTGTATACTTGATTTACCATTTAAATTTCCACAACTCACTGTATCCTGAATTTTCTTCTAACACTATCGAACTTAAGTAGTATCACGAGTGGGGGTGGACTACAGCCCCAGTTATCAAAATTATTTAATTTCTCTTTGATATTAAAATAAAATATGCGAAATAGCATTTCATTCAATTACATGATCAATATAACCCATTGCTCGTATGTAACTTACGAAAAGCTTCCGCCGTGTTCTGCGATTCCATTTCCCTGCCTGGGACTGCCAGCCCCTGCTGCTTGCAGCGAAGTATGATCATTGTTCATTTCGCTCCCTCGCTGTTTATCTCTCAATATTGATACTCTAGGGGCTGCAAGAAAACCAGTCCCATCTTCAGGTTTGTGCGACGATTACACGATTTTTAAAGTTCTGGCGGACGTATGATAGTGTTGAGGTCCTGTATATTGTATTTGTTTTTATTCTTTGGCTACGGAGCAGAGAACAAGTTATGTAATGCTGTGCGAAATAACAGCGAGTTTTCGGCAGAAAAAATCTTATTACAGGGCCCTGGTAACGAAAAAGTGGATACATCCAGTTGCTTAATTTTGAAATAAAAATCCTCTACCACGTGGTGTAATGATAATCTCAGCTTTGTGGGTAGTGTGACGTGACTCTTTCCGATACCCCGCTAGAAAAGACATTTTGGTTGAATTGATCACCGACTGGTATAAAGAACACACTTACGTTCTATTGACCTCGGTGTCGCGTGCGCGCTTCCTGGATCGGTGTCCTTTCGTCCTTTCTCTCGTTCTGGTCGTCCGGGATGTCTTCTTCCTGTACCAGTACTATATACTAGCACCAGTTCCAAATAAGAAAAAAAAGGTTCCGAGTCGGACTGTACCGCCCCAAAACTTCCGCACCGAAATATCGCACAATTCGGTTTCCCGTGGCGTGCACGACTCTGCCGGAGCCACGTGAATACGACGAGAGTGCACTAACACTTCCGATGCACAACTCCACGCTTACTGTTCAGCTATTTCCAACGCGCACCAATGACTCAGGCGCCGCACTGCCAGTTCCCCGCGGTTGCTACAGCTACTTCCGCGTTCTTTGCCGTTGTTACTAGTGAACTGCTGCCACCATGTGGGCTTCGTAAAAACCCCTGCCACTAAATAAGTAAAAACCTGGTGGGTACACGTTACTACCCCGTGGGCTTCGTAAAAACCGCTGCCATATAAGAAAAAAACGGTTCCGAGTCTGTGACGTAGTGAAATGAGAATAAATTGAAATAAAAATAGTATATTGAAAATTTTACAGACTAGTTACAATAAATCGCTAAATTTAAACACTCCAGCAACCTTTTCCTTCCAGTACCATGCTTTACCGCAGAAAAAAGCCACGCGTGATGCGAGCTGTCGGACTTCCGTCCCGTGACAATTACCGTCACATGGCCTGATGCCAAAATTTAAACCGGTCGCCGTCTGGCGAACCGTGTGCAGAAAGCACCCGAGATCGTCTGGCCCTTACACTCCGGACATCTCGCCCATACTCTTACGCTCCCTGTACCTACGCGTACGAGGCTCTCTGATGTAAACTGAAAGAGAACGCGGGCGCAGATGGCGCCGCGTTAAATAGTTGAGGGCTACACCACAACCACAAATTCCCTAGATAGGCTCGCCTGCTGTCGGCAAGCGAGGGCTCGCCAGCCAGCATCTTAGGAGGGGGGTACACCCCCACCACACAAGATTCCCAGGTAGACTCGCCTGCTGTCGGCAAGCGAGGCTGGCTAGCCAGCTTCCTAGGAGTTTACAACATAAGGTTAATTTTGGCTCTGCCACACTGCGTCAACTGCCAGAGCGAAAAATCCCGGAAGTTCAGGCTCAACCCCTTCCTCCCCCGCAGCGCATTTTCACCGACGTAACGGTTCTGGCCCTCGTGTTAACGACGCCACAGTAGTTGATACTGACAAATCTGCAATATGTATTTTTTCGTCTGTGAACAATGTTAGCGGCTGAACAGTTCAGCCGATTTTCTCCAAAATTGATATTCCCCAATTGATCTGGCTAATGTCGCGGCCCCTTTAATTTGAAACCGATATTTTAATTTTTGGTGGTACATCGCATAAAGCCCCTGGGACATTCTCAAACGTTTCGAAAAAATGGCTCTATCGTTTTTCATTAAATTCTATAATTGGATTAACAGTACATAGTAATATTCATGCAGGAGGATGACTGAGGAGGCACGGCGACTGTGGATGGATCGAATGAGTTAGTAGCCTGCATGGACGCGTTCCCTGTAAATGTCTATATCTACAGAGGGTGTCAGTATGACCTTGGGTAAATTCAAGAGGCCTGTAGTAATTAAAGAGAAAAGGTATATAAATAAGACCAAAATTATACAATTAATTACAATTATAATTACACAAATGTTAGAAAAATTGGATGAATTAAGTAGCCGTAGGCATCTACAGTTGAAGACTGTTGATTACAATTGGCATTGAGTCATTGTAATAGCCATAGGAATTCACAGTTGAAGACTGTGTTAGTTGCGGTTAATATTGAAACATCACAATCAATCGGCAATTTCAGTTGAAAACTGTTGGTTGCACGTAACAAATATTATGAGTTCAAGTGTGCAATATCGGTTGATGCAGTAGTGCTGAAATAGAAACACAAGACATGAACAGAAACACTTACTGTTACAGCGTGACTTGTAAGAGTGTGCACGGTCAGGGCACGTGTCGTGAAGACATGTAGTGTGTACTCGCACAAACCACGTGTGATGATCTGCCTGAAGAAGAATGTGGCTACGGTTGCATGGCACACACTGTAGCATTCAGCAGCTTGGGTTTACCGTGGCTGATTACTGGTAATTGCAGCAGTTGCATTGAGTGCCGCGGAAGCAGCTATTGTGGCACAATAGGTGTGTTGTTGAGACGCGTATTAGATTACGATACACATGAGTTAATAACTGTTCACGACTGCGGCACATTCACAGTTTATGTTGGCATGAACTCAACATATGATTAATTACTGTGGAATGTATATGCAACATGTGGTTCGCTGAGCGTATTAATAGAAATGATGAATTGTAATGCCCGTTCAGTT